CCTTACCAACTTTGTAGTGCACACAGCCTTCCAGGTCACCCACAGACACCCAGCCTTGCCGCTTCTCCACCTCTGGATCATTGCGCAAAATTTTATTTCTCAGCCATGACAAGTAATATACCCTCAACTTATTCTTCTTCCCTAGGATTTGCAAGAAGAGAGAGACAGAACACTTTAACTCTCTGAACTACACACTCTCCCCCACTTACAGAAAGCCACAGTTTTGTGACCTTGAGTGCAGCAGGTCCTTGTGCCTTGCCAAGGTGAGGGAAGAGTCCTGCAGCACAAAAGGAAAGTCCTGTGTGATGGGGACACACGGGGAAACTGGCACATGAGCAATCCTTTGGCATTGGGCACATGTGCATTTACTTTGTGACTCAAACTTCATTAGGGATTTTCACACCTGACTAAAAATTCTTCCCTGAGGCCAAAGACACATTACCAGAACCAATCACACGATCTAGCATTTACTCTGGAGCACAGGTATGTCCTACAATGGTCACTCTGAATAAGTGATTAATTTAGTTCTAATTAACTGAAAATCTGCATTACAATTAGCTATTTTCTTTCGAATGCTTCTGCAGATGAGAATTACTTTTTCATCTTTCCTCTCAGTCAGTCTTTCTGTTGCTTTAGTTCATAAGTACATATGGTCAACACCAGCCTGGGACGACAGGTTAGTCTAAAGAGAAGGACTATGTCACATCATCAACTGGACCTGGAAATAAGGGACAAACAGCTTTTGCCATTGCCCACTATGGTGAGTCTGGACTGGAGACAAGGTGCTGCCATTCCTTGCTGGACCTACACCTCTGACCTTGGTATGTCGAATGCATCCTCTGAGGCCACTCTCATCCATGGGGAATAAGGGCAGAGTTCAAGCTCTTTGCCAGCAGAGGTTGAAGACTTCCATCTACTGTTTCTGATGATTTCACAACACAGATGACTCTCATGTTACTGCTCATACATGTTGTTGAACACAGGATGAAGTTATTTAATGATATGTTAATAGATCAGCACTTAGATGCTCACCCAGCACAGAAACAAGCAGTGAAAGACTATAACTTGCTGATAAGCGGTCCATTTTAGGAATATGAAACACTGTACTTCCCACAAACCATTTTACACATTAACCAGGTAATGAATTGTCCCAAAGCCTCTCTGAAATGAGTGTGAATGTTAAAAATTCAGGAGAGTTTTCCTATTAACAAGAATAACTGTCCTGTGATTTTCTGAAAGAGGAAATTCCTCAACCTAGTTTATAACCTAATTCTTCTTTTTAATTGCTTCCAACCCCAACACAGGTCAGATACTTTTAGACACTGAACTAACCTGATATAGTAATTAGCACATTGAGTCCTTCCAGAACATCCATTTGCTGGAATCGTCTCCTTGTAATCAGTGTATAAACTCTTCCTTGCCCACTCCTGTCCAGGAGCCACAATCCATTCTCTGTTCCCACCAGTAAATTTACTCCTGTTGATACACGAAGAAAAATACTGCATAAGTCACCTAATGATTCAGAGGTCATCGAGTGTTCATTGTTTCGAGAATCAATTCTTATTTAGTTTCACTTAATGGTACCTGATAATTTCTCCGTTGCTCTGTGGATGACCTCCCAGAAAAAAAAGATCTCACCATTAGAGTTTGTACTTAGCAGAACACTTATATACCCACAAAACTTGAAGGATGAGTAGTTCCACTGAAGTCAATGTTGATTTAAACAAAAAGGAAAATGTTTCGTCAACTCGAACTTCTCAGGTGACCTCGGAAAGTGCCTGTGAGCAGTGTGAAAGTCCCAGTCCACCACCACTACCGTAGGAACACAGGAGATCCAACTGTGATCTAAGGGTCTCTACCAATTAAGAAAAGAAAAAAACCCTACCAAAAATCCCTCCAGAACTCTCTTTTTCCAAATACATCACTCAAATCACACGGAGACCAAATTTGTGGGCAGAAGAGCTGCTATTACAAGGATGCACAGTATTTGTTTGAGAACAGGCTGTGTTTTGGAAGAATGCCTTCGAATGCCAAACGTAAGGAGTGAATCCATCTGAAATCCAACTGCTCCTAAGGAGACGAAGGCTCCAGTGGGTTGCTGACATCAGAGGATGTCAAAAGTTGTGTTTGGCTGGAATGGCAGCTACATTTCCTAATCAGCAGGTGCTAAAAACATGCCATAAGGTATCCTGCTGTAACAAGCACCCTCCTCCACTAGCAATGCTCTGATGAGTACCTGGTGCTCTTGAGCCTCAATGCACATTTAATTACAGACCTTGCCACACAGCTCTGTTCTCAATTTAAAATCTTGGATTCCTACAAGCACACACTACACAAAATCTGTGAAGCTATAAACTGGAAATCTACATTTCCTTTGGATAATGTTTCATCCACTTCATTCATTTACCATTCCAGGCTCACAAAGTGAGGAGGAATAAAAGGCTGTGTGTCCCCCATAGAATACATCTGTTCTTCTGAAGTGAGGGATGGTTAAAACAATTCAAGAGCTGAGCTAGTGTGCAACTGGGACATGGTCTACAGTTGTTGAAACCTGGTCTGACCACACTTATCTTGGTTTAACACCCTGTGAAGTTGACCCTGTAAGAAGTGTGCAAGTTTAAACAACAACTCAGTGAGGTTCTGAATAAGCACTGACAGCAGGAACTAAGCAAGCCAAGCTTTTGGAAAAATTTGTGCCTGATTTGCCTCAGGATTGTTGGAATACCTAACACACATGACAGCAAAAGGCTTCAGGTTTGGATTATTTCCACTGGGTCAGGGCTCAGTGTGATCAGCTGCACTCCTGTGCTCAGACATGAGTAAGTGTCATGAGCTGCATAAGCTGCTAAGACATTTACAACTTTTGGCTCTTCTGATGAATGTGGTTTCAGTTTGGTACCAAATCAAAACATTTTCTCATTCTGATGCACAAAATCCTTTGCAACTGTAAGTCATCTGTTTGCCATCTTCTACCAAGGAAGGCAGTGTCATGCGAGTGACTCAGGTATCTGCTCAGGGATCCACTCCAGGACTCTCTGACAGGAGAGGTGCAATACAACTGTGAAATCTGGCTGGTGTACACTACCAGCCTCCCCTGCTGCTGCCTTCCTTCCATACACATGGCCAGGTACCGTGGAGCTTACCCCACAAAGCAGCACAAAGGACCTCTGAGTTGAATTTCTTCTTGTATTTACGAATTTCTGGACTGTCACTCTGTGGGCGAATATTTGTTGGGTTGACATTGACAACAGAGCCCTTCCTTGCATTTTCCCTCCTGACAGGCTCAGGTTTGGCGCTAGATGCTGGAATAAAAGACACACACAATTATGAAAAAAGAAGAGCGTTTGGCTACAGCTCATATTTGACCTGTATATGACAGAATGAAAGAAACCCCAGAGTAGTGAGAAAATGCCTTGAGGACATTATACATTCCTGACAAAGCACGGTGGTAACACCGTAGCAGAGTAGAGCAAGCCACATCTGGGAGAAGGGCAGAAGCAGGACCATGAAAATTCATAGTATTGTGAAGTTTCAGTTTCTGGAGATTTTACTGACAGTTTCCATTTCCAAGCAATAGGCCCTCCCCACTCCCACCAGAAAAACAAACCAGGAGTGACATTTTATGCAAAGGTTAAGCTTACTCACGAGAACTACAGGAAGGTCCTACTGGACTGGTGGGAGGGGTGATTGGCAGAAGTCTAGGATCTATGAATGACGTAAATGATGTTGTGGACGATGTGCTGCTCTTGGAAGGTGGACTTTCAGCACGTGGGGTCTGCAATGAAAAACAAGAGCTGCTTCTGCTTCAGACAGACAATGCTTTGGGAGCAGACAGCACACAGCAGTGCCATGACTCTGAGCTGCAGAAGAAATGGCATATGGCACACTTAGGCACGATGAACAGTCTTCAGGCAGTAAATACATGGTTCAATGACAATGCTTTGGGAGCAGACAGCACACGGCAGTGCCATGCCTCTGAGCTGCAGAAGAAATGGCATGTGGCACACTTAGACATGATGGACAGTCTTCAAGCAGTAAACACATGGTTCAAATTCAGTGACAGAAGAGGAGACCTGAGCAGGGAATTGTGTCGGGATGCTTAGCCAGGCACTGCACTGAAGTCACTGGTCCCCAGAAGAGCAGCTCAATCACTCTTCTGCCTCATCTGCATCAGGGCACTGCTCAGATCTCTTGGCAAGCCTCAAGTAAGGCAGTTTTAGATGTGACCCCTGACAGAGTTGTTATCTGCCTCCAGGGACAAGAACCTGTGCTCACAGTGGAGTTAGAGCCCCTTTGGGGCTGCCAAGACTTGTTGCCCTGGCCCATACCACACTTGGGTGGGAGAAAGCCAAGGACAATGAGCAGAGGGACACCAGAATGCTGCACTGCTGACATGGCAGGTGCAGGAGCAGAGGATGCCAAGACTTGTTGCCCTGGCCCATACAACACTTGGGTGGGAGAAAGCCAGGGACAATGAGCAGAGGGACACCAGAGTGCTGCAGTGCTGACACGGCAGGTGCAGGAGCAGGAGCAGAGGGTATGAGCCCTCTAGCTTGTGCAAAAGGAGATTAAAACAGGAAGGGAAGAAAAGGCAGCAGGGAGGGAGATGTAAGAGGAACAATAAAATCTGTTAGCTGGCTCAAGATTTCTTACCTGTTCCCCAGATAAACTTTGACAGAAAAAAGGGATGTGGTGAAAAAAATAATTGTAAAAAGAGACAGGATAGATAAGGTAGAAGGGTTAGAGGAAAATGATGGTACAATTCCTTCAATCTGTAATTTATCTCTTACCTTATTCAGAGGTTTGTTCTGAGGTTCCTGGCAAGTCAGTGGCACTTGTGGTGGGTTCACAGAGGAGTCTGTAATTTGGCTTTGTTGGAGGAGATCTGGCAGGAGATAGTTCTGGTTGTTTATGCTCCAGAGGCCTTCTTGGGTGTTAGAAATCTGTTTCTCTAAAATCTGATCCTGCACGAGAACATACAGTTACCTCATACATTACCTCAACCACAGGAAAAGAAGCAACTTCACCGTTGGAGACACAAAGTCAAACAACTTGCCCTAACGTTAGAGATCTGACCTGTACGTACTGCAGACAGAAGTTCTGGACCTGCATTTAATTCAAGGCCCCTCACCATTAATTCCATTGCTACTTTCCATTGAGTTAGGAAACCTTATTCCAGAAAGACAACATTTAGTAGGATCCAGCATCAGCATTTCCAGTAAAATGTTTGGTTCTGCAGACCTTCTTACAGCATCCCACCAGCTTCATGGAAACACTTGTAAACTATGTAAGGTACCACACTGACAGCACAATCTATAGAGTCAGAGGTTGGTTTCTGGGAATACATGGCTAGAAGCATTGAGAGGAAGAGAGGATCCACAAAGCAAGAGGTGTCCCAGATGGGGAGGGCAGTGCAGAGGGACTGGCCAGGGTACCTAAACATCAACAGTGCTGGAACCTAGAGGGAGATGGGAGCCAAGTGTTACACTAGAAAATTCCTCCTGAATTTCACTGAGGCAAAAAGCACCAGCCAACTCAAGTAGCTTCTGGTTGGCTGATTTCAAGGCAAGTATGTGCATTGTACTGACTTTGACAGACAACCTACTGAAATCAGATCAGCTTTTTTAATGCTGGCTGAAATAAAGGGAAGGGGAAGAGTTTTGCCTTATAAAAGTCAAGAAATTAACTAGAAATCAAATCGCTGCTCTAAGTATTTTACATTTCAATTTAGATATGAAAACCCAAACCGAAACATGCAAGTGTTTGAAATTAGAGAACCAAACCAGTATGGGGCTTTTTTGTTCAGTTTTCAGTCAGATTCAGATGAACTGAACCAAACACCCATTTGAATCATTTGGGCAGTTTGGTACACCCTAACCACTTCAAAGCAGTTACTGCTGATGGGTCAAGGGTTGAAAAGGATGTTGAAAGAGTTGTGGAGAGTCACGATGGCTGTGGCTGATAGAAAAGAGTTGGAAGGAAAGGATAGGAGGCTCCATGAGAGGGAGGGAGAAGACTAGAAGGCATCAGAAAGGCATGTGAGGGGAGGTGTCAGTCATCTGTCTGTTTTCCCTCATGCACTGTTCCCTCCAAACCCACCAGAAAACATGACCTCCACTCTTTTCCATCCTCCCTCACCCTCAGTGCAGGCCTCAAAAACCCCATCCTTCTCCTTTCCCTCAAGAAGCCTCTTCCCAGTACCCAGATATCAGTGGAAAGGAAAGCACTGGGCTGGTTTTGCCACAACAGAAATACTGGTTTATGCCCTGTTTATAATCCGTTCTCTGAAGAAGGGTCTTTCCTCCTTGAAGAAGGTGGGACAAAGGCCAAGTGGAAGTCCTTTCCTTCCCCAGTCAGGAAAGATGCCACTCTGGTCTGATGCTTAGAAATCCCACCAGAGATAAAGAAAACTCCTTTTTCTTCCTCGCCCTCAGCTCACACCAGCAGCTCTGGGGAAAACATCAGTTTCACAGCAATTTATTTTCCCTATCTGTGAAGTGAGAGTACACTCAGTAATACGTGAGAAGTGCTCTGACGCTGAGTGCAAACCTTATTACTGTAATTGTTTTTTTGTTTTCAACCACAAAGAACATTGTTCTGCTTTGTCTGTCTTCATCTTTTCTGTGCTAATATTTATCACGGGGGGAAATCCACATGACTTGAAGCCTCTACTAGAAACTACAGCTGGAAGGAACCACCACATGACATATGAGAAGACACTTATTTTTGCTAAGCCAGTAGGGAGAGATGAAGTGTTTTTCCCCTCTTCTGGCAATAATTTAAGTAGTAGGAGGTAGTTCTCTTTAAACTGGAATAAAAAAAGTAAAGATTTTTAAAAATAGGAACAATGCACACCAACAATAATCAACAGTTTTGCTTTTTGCTCAGTGCTTTCACAAAATACCTTGACATCAGAAACTACTACAGATCAATAATTTTAGGTACAATTTTGTACCTAAATGTAAGCATTTATGGAGGAAGCACAAAACCTGAAACTACATCTTTTTTTTTTTCAAGGCTTATAGCTATAATTTGCAATGACAGAGCAGGACTTCAGAGTGAAAATGCTGCTGAGAAGTAATGGATACAGCGTTTATCATGCACATTAATGATCTGACTCCCCCCCACTGTACCCACCCCCTTACCAATGGCCAAATTACCTTCTGTTCTGTGACGGTGCTTTGGGGTTTCAGTTCAATTCCATCTGGTACTCTCGTCCTTGAGAAATCTGCGACTCTGCTGCTTAGCAGTTGCCTGGTAACAAACTCCAATTAATGAACAGAACTACTTCAGGGGGAAAAAAAGGGCCCCGAAACAAAATTAAAAAAGAAAAAACCCTCGCATATTCATGTTCAAAAGTGAGCATAATTAACATTCACTAGTTACACTCAGAGGTTCTTGTACAATAGCAAGCTGATTAGTGTGTGGATCAGCCTGAACAGACCTGAGCCTGAGGGCCACTCGCACACAAGAGGAAGCTCTCCCCACCTCGGCAGAGAACATCCCTTCATCTCCCTGCATTTCACCCATCATCTCTCAGACACTGCACAGCTCAGGCAAGTGAGAGCTGGTCCCTCAAGCTGTCATTTGAGAAGTGCCTACTTCAAAATTTCTGTCTCCCCTCATACACTGCCCTATGGGGTGCAATCATGAGCCACACTGCTCTCCAGAGAGAGCATCAGCTGCACTTGGAAGGGGAAGAGCTGCTCCTCTGCCATATGCTGGTATCATGGACCTCTCTGCCAGTGCCTACTGGGACAGGCTATGCTGGATTTTCACACTGTGAATCAGTCCTTGAAACACAGACATCCTCACCTTATGGACAAAGAAACAAAGAAAATGTTGCCCAGTGCACACAGAGACAGAAAAAAGCAAGAGGTGCTGGACTGGCTGGGGCCAAAAGCACTGCCCAGCCCAGTATCCTGTCTTTAAGGGTGACCAAAAGCTGCTACTGAAAGAGAGTGAGGACAAACGTCTGTTGTGAATCCCCCCAGCACACCACTGCTTCTTGCACAACCTGAGGTATCTTTGCACTTAAACTTTTTCATTCAAGTAGAACTGCCTCAAATTTCTGTCAGCAAAGCTCTGGCCCCATTTCTGTACACTCCCACCTCACATGATTTATTTATCCCACTTATTTATTTAGATTCATTTATTACTGAAATTCATTTAAGTATATTATGGTTTTGCCTCCTTTCCAGTAATTGCAAAACTGACTGGATCCAGGATGCTGGTGTGAGGGGCTCTACAGTGCTATGTGCCAACTGGTAGCAGACTATAATGTGGTGGAATTTTTTTCTGTTAACTGATGCCCAACACGATAACAAAGAAGGTTTGGTGAGAGACCTACTGACTTAAGATGGTCGTGAAGAAGGTTTTGTGGCACCTTTTTGTTGTTTATTTTTTGGTTTTAGATTGTCCCTCCAGGAGGGGTAAATATTTGCATACTAAACTTAGAAGGCATGGCAAGATTTGGAGTAGGATCAATGGTGAGTGCAAGGATCTGTTCTTATCAGAAAAGCAAGATCTAAATTAATGTCAACCTCCTACTTTGTAGGGGCAGTAGGTAATAACTAGTCAAGCACACACCTACACCCACCTTGTCCAAATGTTGCTAGAAAACAGCACTTCAAGAGCAGAGAGAGGAAACTGAACTAGACAAATGAGTCCTAGGAGACTTAGTGTTCTAGGGGGATTGTGAATACTGCAGGCATTGGAGGAGGAAGCACTCTCAGTAAAGCAGGAGAAATGGAATAGGTGTGCTGTAACAGCAGGTAAGATGCCAGATCATATACACTGACAATCTTTCCTTAAAACAAAAACCTGGGGGGTGTGAGGAAGAATTCTGGCTCATCTCACTGTAAAGAAAAACAAGTCCAGAAGTTGTTTTACTGGTGAAAGTCAGCAGCCCTTAGTCCTGGCTTCCTCAGAAATGGGCCTTCTCAGGGTGCTTAAGAGGATTCATCCAAGAGAATAGGAAGCTCCTTCTCTTGCATATATCCCAAGTGTAATCCTACTGGGCACCTCCAGGAAAGCTGGATCATGGACATCACATGCTGTTCCATCCACAGCCCAGGCATGAACAGCAAAACACAGACTGTTTCCAGTAGCAAATTAAAACCTGGCCTGAGGTGTCTTAGCCAAAGCCCCCCCAGAAACATTCCTACAGAGTGCAAGGGGCTTCAGTCACATGCTTTAGATAGCAAAAAAACCCACCCCAAACCCTTCACTTTATCCAAAATATGCAAAGTTTCAATGCTGGCTGCTCCTTTCACTTTGAACACTATTCTTTTCACTATCTACTTGGTAGCAATCAGGATATATTTCCCAAAGTATCTGTCTTTTAATATAAATGACATTCAGCCTAGGTGAAGGGACTTTGTTAATAGCAAGATTATACTTTTGATTGTACAGGAGCTCTTGTGGTGGCTGTGTGCACAAGAAGGCAATCCTGACAAGGATCATCCTGCTAATTCCACTTCTCCAGAGGACTGGTGAAACTTACACACAGAGGAGATGCAAACACATGCAGATTTCCAAAGGTAGTGATACCACTCCTTCAAATCATTACAGCATGCAAGGATCACAGCAATCTAACACTTACACAGCAAAGTCATTGCTACAGAGCAAATCCATATTTTTATGTAGAGTCTTTCTGAGGTCTAGGATGAATTCTATGACCTAGAGTGAATAAAACTTTTTATAGACCAGAATAAGGTGGTTTGGGAGAGGATCAGTAAGAAAATAAAGGCATTACAGCAAAAGACAGCTCTTTCAGGTGCACTGAATAAGCTACAAGACTTTTAGCATTCTCCCTCATCTCAGCTTTGAAAATGAACTTCAGAAATGCAAATCAGGAGCACATGCAGGCACAAAATATCTACCTCCTCAGAGCAGCACAGGGGAAAGGACTGGTACCAGGCCAACACAAGAGCTTGCCAATGGTGCCACAAATCTGGGCATC